TATATTTTTTATTTTGATGACGTCACTTCCGGTCCGGCGATTTCTGCGATTAAGTGATTTTTAGGGGGTCACATTGCCCGCTCGTTTTGTAAAAAACCACTTAAAATAAGAACTTGATATTGTCAGCGATGAAAGAGTAATGATCATAGATGTGTACTAAGTAGTTCATATTTCCAGGAAGTTCCGAACGTTGACGTTCGGTATGCTCCGAAAATAGTCATATTGAGAATACAAAATTTTTTAGCATTTTTTCAAGAATATCTCTTTACCTGTAAATATTTTGCTAGAATATATATAACAAAAGTTATGCAAAATGACAAGTTCTTTCATGTGATATCGACAAATAGGGGCTGGCCCCTTAAATAAGGGATCTACAGGGGCTCAATATCTCAAAAACTATTAAGAATTTGTGATACATCAAAGAAGCAAATATTGTTCGAAATGACAAGAAGAAGTGAAAATTGTTAAATGACGTCACTTCCTGCCAAAACGGAAGAAGGCAGAAAATGCATATTTTTGCCGTTTTCTACATGTCCTTGGTTAATTTATGTACCCACAAGCGTCCAACTAAAATTTACATCCCTCGACATCACTTCCAGTCAAACTGGAAGTAGCTAAAAATAGCTTATTTTTCAGGTTTTGATGCAAAATTGAAATTTTAAAGTAACTGGAGACGTCTTAACTCATTCCGTTCTTTTGCTTACGTCACTTCTGGTAAAAACAGGACGGAAGACCTACTCGTTGCTTTTCAATGAGCTTTGCTCTAGTTATTATTTTTTTTCTGTCCAAATTTTGTTCTCAAAGATGGTTGGATGGATTCACTTAAAATTTTCAGAGATGATGTATCGTGATCTAAACCTTATTCTTTTTTTTTAATTTTTGGAAATTCATTTCCGATCGGAAGTTATCGCCCTTTAACGAATTTTTAGTGACCATTTTGTCTACACAAAAAACTCAAAAACGACAAAAGCTAGAGCACTGAAATTTTCAGTAAGGATAAAGGACATGTTCTAGTTGTGCACCTGCTTTTTCAAATTTTCTGGAAGTGGCTGGTGAGGAAGCTCGGTAGGGGTCAAAATCTAGGATAGGAATCAGTAGTGAATTTTCGAGACATTTTTTATCATATCTTCAAAACTATGAGTATTTTCTTAAAACATACTGAACAGATAATTTTTTAATATTTTCACGAGTGCGAAGGACGAGTTAATATATAAAAATAATCATGTCTCACGAGTGAAATAGATTCCATATCCAACTACAAACATTGAATTTTCTGTTGATTTTTTTTTCATTTGCTTTGATTTTCACTTTTCCTCTTTTTTAACACAGTGTCATAGGCTTTGACGTCATAGTTGAGCGGTTGAGATGTCATAGCTTAGCAATTGTGAGATTGAAAACATTGTAACATGGATTTTAGCAACATATTTGGAAGATATTGGCAGTTTTAGTCTCTATCAAGACAGTTTTTTTTTTACTATCTCTATCTTATGACAGGCCAGAAATTAATTTTTACTTACGCAGCTAGGTTAAGGACTCCCATTTCTACATCAGCCTATTATGACGTCACGTAAAAACAATTCATATGAATCTTGATGAATAAATATTATATGTTCCTTTTAAAACACACTAAAATACTTTTGTTTCTCATAAATATTATAAAGATAAATGGATGTGCAACTTATCTTGCCAAAATAGCACTTAGAGTATGTAGAATGAAAGCCAGCTTGATCTCGGTGTACCTACTGATATGACGTTATTTCTTAGTTTGACACGTAGTTTCTCTGCATTTGAGGCGTGGAACAAGCTTTTATCATAGTTTGTAAAAATAAAATTAAGTACGAAACAAGCTTATTTGGATCAAAATAAAGACATATTCTAAAATATATTAATCCACATTTTATTGTCAAACTAATTGATAATGTGTAGACTTTATATATAGCCGTAGGGAGCACATTTGTATAGTAACGTGATAGAATGAGGGGTCCAGCCCCTCGAAAATATCAAAAGTTCAACGATATCCGCTTCACTATAAATTCTGAATTTTTAAACACGTGTAGCTGTTATTCCTACTATTCTGAAAACTGCTGGAAGCTGGTTGTAGACTGTTTATATATTCCGTAATGTTACATTATTCCAGTGCGTATTACATCTTTGTCTGGAGTTTATAGAAAGACGGCTAAATTTTGCACAATTCCCGAGCATGAGGAAGTTGCTCCCAGCACTTTTCATGTTAAGAAATTTGTCTCAAACAAAAAAAAAATAAATTTTATAGCGGAAAGATGACCGTATATCGTTGAACTTTTACGATCTTTGTAGTTAGTACATGTATGTTCCAATTTTAAACCTGTCACGTGACAAACAGCTGATGTAAGCGATGTCGCTTTGGCCGAACTCAGCTAAGACCCAATATATACAAGTACAAACACCATAGTTCACATTCATAAAAAATAATGCTGTCAAAAAAATATTAAAATTGTATTCTTTTTTTCTGAATATACTAAGGCGTATATTTCATGGGTGTCCTTAACCTAGCTGCGTACTTTGACACTGTGAGAGAATCCTTTTACACTGTGAGATAATATCACTTTGGTATCCTTTCACACTGTGAGAGAATATCACTTTTATTCAACAAATAAATCACAGTATATCATTGTTGAAAATATTGTTGTAATAATGTATATTTACCCATGCATAATATTTCTTCAAAGTTTATCATCAAGGTTAATCGTATTATAAACGGAAGAATTATCAAAAGAAAATGACATAAAAACACCAGCTGCATTTTCTAATTGAAAATTGATCAACAAATAAATTTTAGGATAAAAAAGTACAGTTATATAGGTATTTGGAGAAAAGGTGCATTTTTTTCCTATACTGAAACGGCGTTTTGGTTCTCCATTTACTTTAATTGTTGTTTAATACACACTGTAAAAAACTTGGTCTATCAAATGATTGCAAGACATCACAGATCACTTGTAATTTCATCTCATGTTATTAGCGTTGGTACCTAAGGTACATGTACATTACAGGAAGTTCAATTTCTCTAGAAATGTATTTTTATGGGGCCAAATTATAAATGATTTTATAATACTTCTAGGAATTCAAAGAACCTTGAATCATACTGAAGTGCATGAAATGAAAAACGTTGCACGCAAAAAGCTCAACGTCAAGCTTCTTTTAAAGATTTGGTAAAAAAAAAAAATAATAAATTTCAGTTATCTTTCCCGGCTGATGAGCTCATATCCTTTAGAAGGAAAATCTTTTTAAAACACATTATGGTAATGTGCTGTCTATTGGTTTCATAGACCGATCACTTTTTATTATCTTCATCTTTTTCATTTCGTTTATCGATTTCACTACTTTGGTATCTCAAAACAAAATAAACTATATTAAATTATAGTTAACTTTAGTTTATAAGCTTTTTTTTTTACTTTTGAAACGTGAGTAAGTATATTTTACTTTACTAAAAAAGTAATAACAAAGTAATAAAATTTAATTATCTTAACTTAAAAGTAGCATTCTCATAGTTTACAAACGTTCTTATTAAAAATATGAAAAAGACATAAACTTCTTACTACTACTTCAAATAAACTACAAAAAATTATAATAGACAAGCATTTACCTTTCAAGTTTTGACAACGGGCAGCTGGTAAATTGTAAGAGTTAAAATTCCCGCACTGATAGGAATAGGCCCGTGCCTCAGTATTTTTAGAAGGCAAACCTGTTAAAAAAGATTTACATGGGGGTACAGACTCGCTGGCCAATGAAATTTTATGAGTAGAATTCAAGAATAAAAGCCGGAACACGAATATTATCAAATATGGCATATAGTAAATAATGGCTCAGCTAGATCTTAAGAAAAAATGGAGAAAAATGATTTTTAATAAATATCACTCTGCCACACTTTATATAAAATAATGAAACAAATAAAAAGATCTTTCTAATTTTGTTAATCTGAATTTATAAACCATACGTCATATATACCTTTATATTTTGAATTTCAAAATACTTTAGAACATGATAGTGTATAAAATTACATGTTTATTATGTAGACGTGTCGACAATGGCAAAAGCATTTTTTAACGCTTTTAACACTTTTGCGATGGAACTTATAGCCTAATATCCAGCGTTAAGATAGATGTTTTATATTATCTTGAAACAATTGCTTCAATACCTGTACTAGTTGCTAAAATTGAAGCAACTTCAGTGATTGAAACATAGCGACAAAAAAGTATCGTTTTAAAAGCAGTGAGAGCTTGGCATTTCAGTTCGAGGAAAAATACATGATAGATTGTACATGTTGTATATATATTCTTTAATTTTTGCACTGGATTTTCAGACTGATCAGTTGCATATTCGTTTGCGTATTGTAATCAATTCATTTTGCAGAAAATTTATCAAAAGGTCGTTACGGAGTTATATCTGCTGGGAATGTAAAATACAATAATAAAAGGGCTACTGATGGCAACGAGTCTTCATTTGTGTTCACTAAAGAAACAGACAACGTGACATGGTTCAAGAAGCTTTATATGTGTGTGTGTGTGTGTGTGTGTCTGCGTGTGTAATAAGAGTGTGTGTGTTTTATTTTTTACGCAAATCTTTTAAATCAATTGTTCAAATTTTGAATTCGTAGCAGAAAATATACAACTCAAATTTAACAGTTCCCGGTCCTGAAAAATGCTCAATTGTACTATCTAATACTTCGTTGTCATCGTTTTGATTGCAAAAAAAGTAAATGCATTAAAAAATCGATATGATCGTATCAATCTTGCCAAAGCAAGTGTCAACAGGATAGTGCATGAAACTAAATTAATTTTTCACACACCCGGCCAACAAAAATAAAGTAACAAAGCATAAATAACGGAAAACATCCTTTGAATTTAAAAGCTAATAACACCATCTTCCGTATTTGACAGATAAATGATACGACAAGCGGAAAACAATACTTCTTTTCTAGAGTTGTTCAAAATCATATGACTTAAAACTTAAATTGAAGACAGACATACATGTACTACTAGTATATCATGTCATCTATTCTCACTGGGACATTGATAGTTTTCTTACTAATATTAAATGCTTATGCATACGGTAAGTTGAACGATGTAACTATTTCATATTTAAAAATACAGTATAAAAATTCATATATTCTCAATAAAAATATTAATGTACTTTATAGCTCTAAGATGACGGGAAATGTTTTGTGAACAAATCTGAACAACGTGTATATTCATAACATTTGCTATGTTGATTATCCTAAGGCTGTACAAAAGTTGTATTCATATTCATAGCTCCATAAACATTGTCAAAGAGCATTAAAAGGATATCAAATTAAAAACATGTTGATTTTATTATTATTTATGTTTAAATAAGGTCTATTTTTTTCTGAGTTAAAAAAATCTTAGCTATCCTTATAAATATGGACTACCGTATTTAAAATATATGTTACTATTTAGATTCAAAATGACACTTGCACATTAAAAAAAAAAAAAAAAAAAAAAAAAAAAAAAAAAAAAAAAAAAAGCAAATGTTTCGTAAATAGGCTTACTGGCAATCCTATTTCAAGTCATCTGTTCATTTAATTGATTGATTGATTGATTGTATGTTGTTTAACGTCCCATTCGAGAATTTTTCACTAATATAGAGACGTCACCATATACCGCTGAAGGGTTTCACACGGCACTCAGGGTCATTGAGCAGTGAGGGATCTTTATCGTGCCAACGCCTGCCGTGACACGGGACCTCTGTTTTTAAGGTCTCACCCGAAGGACCCGCAACTTTCACTTCACTTTCACTGCCGAGCGCTTGGCGAAGGAGCAGTTGCTACCTAATTTTCTATCGACTTAGGTCAGTCGCGGCCGAGATGCGAACTCACGACCTTCCGATCACGGAGCGAGAGCTTTACCGACCGAGCTTACGGTCTTTTCATTTAAAGAATTGATATAAAAATTGATATAAATCCTACATATAGTTTCTAGTATATGTATCGAAGCATATTAATCGAAATCACGACTTACGGCTTATATCACGTACATGTAACAAGAATGTTTGTTAATGAAGCTGTCCCGATTCCCTGAAATAGGAATCGATCGAAAAGACTTTTTAAGAGTTTCATATTGTACCGGAACAAATTCTCGCACAGTGGTTACAGTAGTGTATGAGTTCTGTGTTTAATATGAATTATAAGGACGATGGCTACGAAGACACAGTTTGTGCAGGTTAAATACTTAGAAAGCCCGAACAACACAAATAACTCTGAAAGTGACATGAAGATCTTTAAAGTTTCTAAAGATTGATTCTCTTTAAAAAATAGCTATGAATAACAAAAATATCTTGTCTATTGTAGATAATTTATCAGAAGGCCGTTCCATCGTCGTTTATAATACAACGAAATTATCGAATGGAGTCAGGATATATAAAGCGTCTTCATGTTTCCCCTTTGAAAACTTCGAAATTTTGACATTGGTTGTCGATCTTTTAGACGTTCGAAGTGTGTACCAGATTGAATTTACAATAGGTATCAATATTTTTTTTCCTTAAATGATGAGAAACTTATTTTAAAGAAAACACTTTTCAAAGATTCCAATTCATCTATTAGGATGAAAATTAAAATTTGATATACAAAACAAAAAAAAAAATACATTAAAAAATGTTGATTTGTGTACCTGAAAAAAAAAGATAAAGAAACAATTTAGATTAAATGAATTTAATGCCTCTGATGTGTTCATACAAGATTTTCAGCTATATATTCATTGTTTGAAATTCAAAATTCTTTATTAAGATGAAATTATTGTCTTTACAGGTCCACAATCAAGATTAGGCAGTTATATCTGGAGAGGTAGGCAAAACACTTATTTGCATATAAAAATTTTCATGTTTATTCAAATACTCTTATTGTGGGCAAACCCATTTAGGGTTTATAAAAAAATATTTTTGAATTCTTACATGACATTGTTGTATTCGTTGAAACGAATTAATTCAATTTTTTTTTTTTACACATTTGTTGAATTCGTGAAAACTAATTCTTTGATTTGTTATATCGAGTTAATTCGCTAAAACAAACTCTTATATTTGTTATACATAACTAAATTTGATGACACAAAGTCTTTTATATATATATATATATATATATATATATATATATATATATATATATATATATATATATATATATATATATATATATACTTTAAAGGATTTTTTCTCAATTTCAAGTTTTACTATAAATGTATTTTTTCTCTTTATCAAAAGTGATAGGAGGATGGTCAATATTCATTTCTAATTCAAGTTCCACTGACTCCGGGTCCTTGTATGCTTCAGGAACTTTAAATAACAAGGAAATATCAGTTTTTGTAACCAAACAAAAACATGGCCGATTTATGGTGCTTAAATACGCAGCTAACACTCAAAATCAAAGCGTTCCATTTTGTACTTTCAAAGTATTTGGTGAGGATCATAAATTATTTTTAATAACTCTGTCTTTATGAAAAAAAAAATCAAATATCTTTAGCATCAAAATTATGATACCATTAGCAATTACCATGTTTATCTGCTTCGGCAAATTACGATTTAGTATTTTTACAATTTGCTAAGCGACACTAATAATTAAAAGTCGAAAAGAAGAGCATGTCAATTACATGTACATGTAAGGAATGGTTTGCTAAGGATACAGAATTTTAGTCCAATAGAAAGCTGCATGCTTCTTCCTGATGCATTTTTTAAATAAGCAATGCTTAAGTATATATATATTTTTTAATTAAAAAACAATTTTAAAAAATTATAACATTTTTTTAAAAAGGACATAAATATTGGGATTCGGCACATCAAATTCAAGGGATAGTCAAAATGTTTGTAGAAATTTCTCAATAAAATGAAATTTTCTACAATTGCTTTCACATTGTTTACTTCAAGTTACCAAAGGTAGCTCTAATATTAAATAATCAGTTTTATTACATGTATCATTGATTACCAATTTTAGTCAATTATTGATTTAAAAAACGACAACTGAATGAAAAGAAAGTATATAAAATTCAAATTTCTGTCCAACATTATATCGACTTCATCGCGCCAGACAGTTCAGTCTGAAAATAAACGATCTGAATGAAACAAATACAAATGGACATCTGATGGGGTTTTATTTCATGCATTGCTTTAAAAAATGCTATCTTAATTGAACTTTGTATAATTCTGGAAAAATATATTTGATTTTCCTTTTCTTCCGACAATAACAGAGTGTATTTTCAATGTGATCTGATTTCAATACTACATTTATTTTAACTATATTATTTTGCGATTTTTTTAATTCTATAATTATATTCCTGATTTATCGCAGGATGTGACATGGGTGTGTTTGGAACAAACTGTAATGTCAATTGTTCAAAGAACTGCATCGGGAAATCATGTGACATCATAGACGGAAGATGTCTGAGCGGGAGATGTACGGATGGTTGGCAAGGAAACAACTGTAATCTAAGTATATATACCTTATTTAATGAGCCCACAAAGAAATGCTTTTTTAGAATTCAAAAGTTTTACATAATTTTATACCACATTGAATATGCTTTTAAATTCAAAACTTTAGACCAACGAATGGATAAATATAAAGTTGAAGCATTTTTTTTTTCTAACATATGACTTGATGACGTAATTATCACAAAATTTTCATAGACGTCAACGTTAGGTCTAATTCCAAAATTATAATGGAATTATTTCATTAATAGAATTCATTCTTTGTTTACCAGTGATTGCACAATTATCTTTAAGAATCTCAACAATACAAAAATTCCCTTTGCAATGTTTATGAAAAAGATGAATTAATATAAAGTAGGCTATAATGCCTAAGGTTTTATTTCTGATAAATAAGTTTTAGGCTTAATTATCTTTTTTTTTTTTTTTTTTTTTTTTTTTTTTTTTTTTTTGAACAGAGTTTAGCGATAAAGCATTTTTTCCAAACTTTACCAAAAAATACGATATCTGTAAAGATAGTGCTGGAAAATTTAATAACGTGACTGCTGTCAGTGATAAACTTTGCATCGCTAGAAACAAAAGTGGGAAGTGTGACTCAAGTACGTATCTCTTTATACTTTATCAAACATCTCCTTTCCGTGCATGGTAAACGCAGATCATATTTAGAAATTTCATCTTGTACATGTAACCTTCTTTTACGAAAAAAAATGTTTTTACATACACAGACATATATATGTAAATATTCAACCTCATTTTTAAAATTTACAATTGATAATAATAGGTTATGTTTTAAATATAAAAAAATGAACATATATTTATTTATCCTTAAGCACAAAAAGTGAATTCTAGGTTTTTTGTTGATTGTTTATGTAAAAAGGTGCACAACACGCTGAGGAAACCCAACCAGAAGTTTATGGTCTGTTGGCAGCATTTATAGTTTCCACTTTGGTGAACTGTGTGTTCCTAACAGTTTATTGTAAAAGGTGGGAACATGATTTTAAGAGTCATATAATTTGCGATGTGTGAAAGATAGTACATAATGGGAATTTTGATTTTTTTCAATCAATAATTTTATTGACAGGTTCATGTTAAAAAGAAGAAAGAGGACCTCACTTCAGACCACACTTGCACCAATATATGCAAATGAACCTGAAGAGAATCAAAATCAGAGATCTGGTCAAGAACAGGACGAATCAGAGATGAAAATATATTACGAAACATTACAAGCCAGCTCCAATGAACCGGATAAACATAATTATGCTTCATTCAAATAAATTAAGAAACGAAATGAAATAAAGCTGTTTAAAAATACATTATTCAGTTTCAAAGTTTTGGATTAACACTGAAGCCAACTCTGTTTGCGACATTGTTTATTCCTGAAACATGAAAAAGAATGTTTGTGAACGCTGGATATGTATTACATTCAGGTATACATGTAGTATATCCGAAGGTTTGATATTTGCAATTGATATGCTTTGTAAAATAACAATATATAATATTCCGACGTTTACGATGCCAATGAAACTCTAATGAAAGAAGTCATACGCTAATAACAATTAGTAAAATAACTATACATTATATTTCGGCGTTTACGATGCTAATGGAACCTATATACTGATAAGAATTAGTGTACAATAACATGGTTTTAGGTTATTAAAGTAGATTATTTGACAGTTATTTGACAGTGAATATTTGAATTTTGGGATCTTGTGAAACATGTCAGTATATTAATATTTCACGACTCTGCTAATTGTAAAGACTTTTTAGCTCCCATGATTTCAATTATTACTGATTAAGATATATTTGCATGTTGTATATCATGAAGATATTTTTTTTTCTAATTTACAGTGTTAAATGTACTCATCGTTTGTTTTAAATCATTGACAACTTAACGTTAATTATTACAAGAATGCATTCATATACAATCATGAATTTTATTCTGCATATTATGATTCCGTTCAGATTTTTTTTAATTTACTGTCTCTTACAGCTTTCTAGTCGCAGAGATATATATAAATGATATATTATCACTGTCATTGTTAAAATGTGACATTTACATCTGATTTATTTTGATGAACATAAAAAGGATTTGACAGTATTTATCTCTTCTTAAATACAAATGTAAAGTAAAAAAAAAAAATTCTGTATTGTATTTGTGTTTTGACCCTCACCCCCGTTTAAAATTTCTGTATTAAAATACATTGTATTCATTATGTTCAGAAACACACGCATTGATTCATTTCCTTACATCAATACTATGCTGTGTGTAAACATTGACCTAGTTTGTACCAGAACATTGTTTACTGTTTCGTACTGTTTCATGTTAGGTAAATGACCAAATTTCCCACGGTGTGAATATTAGGAGTTTACATTAATGGACACTTAATAAAACTCTTATAAATTATACAAGAGGTTATTTTACATGATTGTAACATTTAACATGCAGGGTTTTCTTTTCAATTATTAGTTTGAACTTTAAATTTGAACGTGTATAGTTTTTGGAGACATTAGTTTGCCCCTTCCACTTAAACACCATATGGAAAACGAAGCCACACGCCTGAACTGGTCTTTAAAGGTGCTTGGACACAGATTTGAAGTTAAAGGGTACCTGCAGTGGCTCTTTATTTTTAAATATGTTGAAGATCATGCTAAAATAAAACTAAAGAAAAAAACCGCACCGAAATCTATGCACAACTAACGAAGCTATTGGGGGAAAACCCTATTTCACACCTGAGCGATTTTCTGAAACGCTCGGTTTTCGGGCCTTAGCCGCTGTGACGTCACAACATGTACCGGCCATTTTGAATGCATAGAATACGGTGGAAACACGATGAGGATTTTTAGTGTTTTTTCATTATTTTTTAGGGATTTTGTGAATATTAAATTAACTATGACTATAGTATTAGTTCTAAGTTTTGTTTGAAATTAGCTTAGTGAATATTTTTTTCATTATTTCTTTGTGTGTGGTTATAATAAGTAACAATACTAGGAATCGCCAAAAATCATCGATTCATATTTTTCAATAATTAGGAATCGATGGATTATGCCAATTATATCATAATTTTTTTTTTTCCTTCCGAATATGTAGTGACATTTTTTAAAATTCTATTTATAAGCAATAATCACAAAGAGACAGTACACAAACGTACGTTAATAAAAGAAAACATTTCTAATTTAAATAAAAAATAGTAACTACAGGGTTAGTGTATAGGTCCCTGGTAAGTACTTATATGGTGTTTGCTGTTGTATTCTTTGAAAAGTGAAAGTATAGAATATATATTTTCCTATTATTTAGTATTTGGAAATACATAGAATTGATATGAGAGAGTGAGTGAGAGATTCCCTTGTTTAACCCCCCTCCCCATATAATTGATTCAACAAATGTTATTTAATTTTATGTTCTTCGTTATATCTTCAATATGAGTAACATTTTTATTATTAAATTGGATTGTTCATTTTTAACGTCAGTTGAATTTATTAGTACCCCCCCCCTCCCAACACACACACACACACACATAATTTTTTGATTCAAACAAGTGTTTCTGTATTCATCTTTCTTACATAATCTGTCAAAGCCATTTTTAAATAAATTTCTTGCTTATTCAACTTTTGTTTATTCGTGTTTCTTATTTTCCTACACTAGGGACCTGTAACATGTTCGTCTCCGTGGTTACGTACGAAATCCACGTGTTTCACCTGTCAATCAAAATCACGCAATCTTGAATGCTGCGATTTGAGATATTCATCGGCTCCTTTGTCAAATGCTAGTGGGACATAAGTAAATAGCCGGAGGCACCGAATGTTTATCACACCTTTCCAAGTCATCGGTCTTGACCATAGCAAGTGTATTAATCACGTAATCCCAAGTCCTACCCCACCACACGTGTAAATTAAACTGATTACGAAGAACTTATTGAAAAATCTGATAGATTAGATATTTTACACTTTAATTAATTCAAACTGCTCAGTCTGTCAAATGGTGATTTGTATACAGTTTTTTTTAAAAAAAATATACAAAACACAAGTATATTCACCTAACTTTTTGTTAATATTTTACTGAATTATAATAGATTGTCTGTTGAATTAGTGATAATTAAAAAAATGATTTTTTTTTTTTTTCTCAGTTGACTTTATTCTTCTAAATTCAACATACATTTAGAATTTAAATTATTCATAAAACCGCTAACGATCGCAATTACATATGAGTTTTGTTTCCGAATCTATTACAGATTTGATAAGGGGAGGGGGGTCTTCTGTAATTAGGACCGTAGACTATTATTTGAAGAACCGGGTACTTTACAGTTCTGCACTTTGTATGAATATTTTTTTAACCTTATGGGTGGTTTTTTTTTTTTTTTTAAATTATATCAAAGATATATGAAAACTACATAAGAAGGATATGATGAGAGAGAGAGCTCTAGAGAGATGAGAGGGGTTAAGATTTATTTAGCATTGCAGACACACTATTTGATATAATGTAACGTGTTCTAAATTTTTATTTTGTAAATTAATTTTAATTAGTACAGTGACAAAAAAATTGTAAGTACATTACCATAATTAGGAGTACGCGGGTATCATTATTTAACAATTAGTTTTAATAACTTGTATATTGAGAATGACCCGATTTTTGAAAATATATTTGGTTGCGACTTTGAAGGAAAATTAAATTGATAATATTGTTGCTGCCGATTGCTAAATGGTAACAACTGATTATCAAATTTAGACATAGAAGAATTTTTATCCAAACGAGAAAATTGTCAATTATCTTTAAGCCGATAGTTATGAAGATCTTGTGGAAATAGTTAACACCTTGATGAACGAACTGTTTTAGGACATTGAAAATATAGAATTGAAAATTCCTGTATTTTGGTATTGATGATTTTTTTCCCAGTCATATTCAATAGGCTGTAACAGGGAGATATACAAAGGAACTTTAAAGACCCAATTTTTTTACCGTACGGTTACCTGAGGAGGGGGAGTGGTCTTGGTAATACTGGTGTTATTTACCTGGAGAGCCCCAATACTCAAGATGTCAAAAATCCCTATACACGCTGCATTACACAGGAAGCCCGGCTTCAGGGTCAACATTACGCGTTTTGTGCATACTTTTGAGTGAAAATATTTAAAATAAATTGTGTTCTGAAATAAAAAATTAGTCTTAGTGTTTTCGTCGATATCTTTTGAGAAAAAAAAAAATAAATAAAAAGACGTCTTTTTTATAAAATCGTAAAATTAAAAGAAAAAACGGGTGTCGTGAAAACTACAAAGCAATCATATCAATATAAATTATTATAAAATATTAAGTGAATATTGAAATCAGAAGATTCCACTTTTTGTGTGGACATTTACCACGATCGGATTATTATTAATTTTTCTGGTGAACAATGGTGTCCAAATATTCGCCATTTCCGAGGTCCGTGTTCTTATGCCCTGTTTACAGATTTGGATATAAAAAGAATCTTTCTTAATTCATGGCGTTGGATACAAGATACTTTATTTATATTAGTATAAATATCTTTTCTTATTTAATCCATTGCATTTTGTTAAAATTTTCAATTGTGGGGGAGGGGGTCGATTGTTTCCAATTACGGCGAATTGAGTTTCTGTGTACCCAAGTGCAAGGTCGACAAAGGTATTACGTAAATTCACGGGTTGAATAAGGGTCTCGGAAGAAAAATCAGTCTGTGCTGCTACAGAACTTTCTTTCTGAGGATCTCAGTTATTGAAGGAAGAGAAGGCTTGAATATCCGCTAATTTTTCTTCGAAATGGTCTACACTTATCTTGGACTTCATATCGCAAACAAGTACAAAACAGCAGTGATGATTGAAAAAAATTCACGAAGTCACTTTTTGATTATCTACTCTCAATTATATTTTAGAAATGAAATTATCAACCAATATTACAGCGACATGATTTTTTTTTTAACCAGAGTGTATACAAAACGACCCTTCACGCGGTACATGAAAGCGTTTGACGCGTGACCAGGTAATTGTTTTCAAAACATGCAAACTCAGATTAACAGGTAGCCCATACACGTATATGTGCATTGAGCGCGCGCTCTCTCTCTCTGAAAAATATAACGTATGTAGACTACATTTATTAGACATTAGGACTAATTAGTACAATTCATGTATAAGCTAAATACAAGCATTTGCTAATTTCTAAAAAAAAAAAAAAAAAAAAAAAAAAAAAAAAAAAAAAAAAAACCCAAATGTATATGTAGCTTTGCATGCCATATGGACATCGCTATTGATGAAGCACTCTACCTGACAATGTGTTCAATTATTCAATAATTGTTGGATTATGTAATATCAAATATTTACACAGAAACATGAATAGAGACATGTAATTAATAGTAAAATGTTATTTATTACAATTTTTCGCTATAGATTTCGTATAATTTGATATTTTGTTACACCTTAAAATTCAATTTTTATTTATTCCCTCTACACTTGTACAAAAAACGAGTCGAAAAAAAACTTCCCTTTATTCAATACCACTACTTTGACGGTTTTTTCTGAGAATGCGCAATTGTGACATCAAAAGATAAGGGTCCCTCTCTCTCTCTCTCTCTCTCTCTCTCTCTCTCTCTATATATATATATATATATATATATATATATGTTACACACATGTAATAAAAATTATCAGTATCGAAACTTCAGTACGATAACATAACCCTAAGGCGTATTGTCATGTCAAGGGTACATTTGTTATCTTGAGTTTTCAAAATCGATGTTTTATAGGAAACATTATCAATAAATGGTTCGATGATAAAACTATATGATTCTACCATAGGTATCTACAAATAGCATTAATCGAGCTTTCTTTGATACCATTTAGTTAATATTTTTAG